CTTCCTTCCGAGGAGTGGCTGGTGGGTTTGAACCGCCAGCCATCTGGTTAGCAGGCAAGTGTCTTAGCCACTATGCTACCAGAGCTCCCAGGAATCCATATATAAGTAGTTAAATTAGAAGCATTCAAACTTTAGTCTGCATTAGAATAACCTGGGTATTCATTAAAATGTGTCTTCTTTGAATATGCTAATTTAGTGGGGGCAGCAGGGGCAAGGAACGTAGGTGTTAAACAAGTGTCCCAGGTGATTCTGATGCAGGGAGTTGACTTGAAGGCTGCTTTAAGGAACAGGGCTCTACATAAGATCATAGGCACTAGAGGGCTCAGAAAGGAGCTCTGGTGGCATGGTTGACAGGGCACTTGACTGCTACCTGGAAAGCCAGCAGTTCAAACCCGCCAGCTGCTCTGTGGAAGGAAGATGGGGCCATCTACTTCTGTAAATATTTACAGCCTCAGAAACCCAATAGGGGTCGCTGTGAATCAGAAATGACTTGATGACAGTGAGTTTGTTTTTTCGTTTGGGAGGGATCAGAATCGACTCGATTGCAGTGAGTGAGAAGGATGAGTGGTCATCAAAGGAACGGAGGTATAAAACAGCCTGTGGGTATTGGGGACAAGATGTCCTCCAGGCACTGGGCCAAGAAGAGGCAGGCCACAGAAAGAACTGTGGGACAGCTGGCGTTTGGATGTGGATGACTGCCGAAGATTCACACTGCCTGCTTGAAAAGCCTGCTCAGGATAGCTCTGTGCGTCTACCTTAGGACACCACCACCAGATTTTAAAATCAAGTCTGGCTTCTCCCAGAAAACACCAAATGGCCAATGACGCCAGTGCAGCAGGGGGGCCTGGAGACCCCAGGGGCCCTGTGATGGGGGGATGGCACAACTTGCATGGAGGCTTTGGCAGCTCCTTGCTGGATCAAAGTTGCGGCCGAGGTCAGGTGGGGGTTGAGGCCATAGGGCTCATGGGGGTGAGGCTGAGGACAAGAAGGGGGTACCTGTCACCAAACCAAGACACTTAGTCAAGGACATGAAGATCAAGTCCCCTGGAAGACATCTCTCTCCTTTCTCTGCCCATCAAAGAGTCTGAGATCATTGACTTTTTCCTAGGAATGACCCTGAAGGACGAGAGTTTTGAAAATCATGCCTGTGCAAAAGCAGACACATCCTGGCCAGCAGATCAGGTTCAAGGCATCTGTCACTATCAGAGACTACAATGTCCATGCTGGCCTGGGTGTTAAGTGCTCCAAGGAGGTGGCCACCACCATCCATGGGGTCATCATTCTGGCCGAGCTCTCCATCATCCCCATGCAGCTAGGTTACTGGGGGAACAAGGCTGGCAAGCCCCACACTATTCCCTGCCCAGTGACCAGCTGCTGCAGTTCCATGCTAGTACACCTCAGCCCTAGCTAGAGGTACTGGCATCATCTCAACCTTGCCCTGCCCCTGCTCAAGAAGCAGCTGATGGTGGCTGGCATTGATGACCACTACACCTTGGCCGAGGGCTGCAATGCCACCCTGGGCAACTTAACCAAGGCCACCTTTGATGCCATCTCCAAGACCGCAAGCAATTTCACCCCTGACCTCTGGAAGAAGACCATGTTCACCAAGTCTCCTCCCTACCAGGAACTCACTGACTATCTTGTAAAGACCCACACCAGAACCTCTGTGCAGAGGACCAGGCTCCAGCTGTAGCCATCACATAGTGTGTTGTACACAAGAAAAAGTGAATTAATCAAGCCTGAAAAAAACAAAATCAGGTTTGGATATTAAACATTTACACCATGCAGAACTGAGAGAAGGATAGCAATGGAAGTTGTTGTTGTTATTGTTATGTGCCGTCGAGTCGGACCTGACTCATAGCAACCCCTCCTTGGGTTTCCGAGGAAGTATCATTATGGAAGTAGATTGCCCAACCTTCCTTCCAAGGAGTGGCTGGTGGGTTTGAACTGCCAGCCTTCTGGTTAGCAGTCAAGTACCTTAGACACTATAGTACCAGAGCAATGGAAGTAGCCATGGTTAAGTAAGGGACATTAGACTCTAAAATGTACCGTAAGCAAGAGCATAAGTGATATTCTGGAAATCATCATTTTTAAAAAAGAATTTCAGGTTTTAGGCATTATCTTCAACCAGAGGAAAATCTTCTTATTCTTATTATTCATGAAGAAATAGCAAAAATGCTCTTCAAACCACTCCCTTTTAATCTCTTACCTTCTACGCTGCCTGATCCCTGATAAAATCAGTAGAGTGATTGCAACGATGACGATGCAAAATATCACACCAAATATGATAATCCAGACAGGCACAGCTGGGTCAGCGGGTGGTGCAAGAGTGGAAGGGATTTTTAAAAATTCCAGAGTCTGGTCATTCAAAAAGAAGGCATTGTTGATCCGGTCCCTATTCATTCTAAAGCACATTGATAATTAAAAGCAAACAAAACAAGAAGAGAAAAAATTAGAAGCAGAAAGTACAGACCTGCTCGTCCATGACTATAAATATCTCTATAAACAAAGCATCCCCCTAGCATCCAACTTTGGGTTGACTAGAAAGTTCTTGGAAGGCAACCATGCTGTGGTTTTAATTGGTTACAGTGCTGCCAGCCAGAGGGGGTTAGTCAATGCACTGCTGCCCTCCACTGTCCTTCTACGCCTTGGAAGCAACCAAAAGTCCTCAGCTTTGAGTTCTGCCCATTATGTTTTCTTTCTGAGAGGTAGCTTCTAGAGTAGAATCACAGAATTCTATTTAAGGTCGTTCATATAAATACCAACAGCCCTATAGGGCTGCACAGCCGATTATAATTGCTATCAGTAAGGTCATACACCAGTAAAAAGTTGAATTGGCAAAAATTGTGTGATAGATATGTTTACACAATGATGAAAAAGAGTAACTGCTAAGGCTGCTTATGTACAACCAAAAACATGGGACTTGGTTCCTTGCTTTGGAGGTTTATGGTCTTGGTTTAGTAGGACAGCCCAGTTAATTGCCCTAATAACGTGTTTAGTACTTCTATTCTACCTCCTAGTTCATTGTGTAGTGCCTGGGGTCTTAAAAGCTTACAAGTGCCCATCCAAGGCACAACGATTGGTCTCTGTTCACCTGGAGCAACAGAGAAAGAGAGTCAAGAATAGAAGGAGGTTGTGGAATTTGTGGCTAATTGCCTCGAAGAACAGCTGCCTCCTTTGTCATGAGACCAAAAGAACTGGATGGTGCCCGGCTACCATTACTGAACATTTTGATCAAAGATTCCATAGGAGAATCCTGATCAAAAGGGGGAAAATCAGAACAGAATTTCAAATTCTCATGGACTCCAGACTCTCTGGAGTCATGGGTACTAGATAAACCCCTGAAACTAATACCCTGAGATGACCTTTAAACCATAAACCAAATATATCCCCTGAAGTCATCTTAAAACTGAATAATAATTCAGCTTAACTAGTAAAAAAATGTCTTTCTTAAGCACTATGCTCTTTAAGAACTACCTATATGGGGTCAAAATGACAATAGCAACTCATAAGATTAGATAGGAACCTTAGGGGGGCAGTGAGTTTATGTTAATGGAGGAGGAAGAAGTCAGAAAAGGAGGGTGAGAACGGTTGCACAATTGAAAGAATGTCATCAATGTCACTGAATTGGACATGAAGACACTGTTGAATGGGTGTATTTGTGCTATATATATTCTAAACAACAAAATAAATACAATCTTTTAAAATATTACTAGCCCTAAAAGATAAAATGATATGAAAAAAGTGGATGAAAAACATAAGAAAAGAAATTTGGGATCAGGAAAGAAAACATGAAGTCAGGAGTGAGTTATTCATCAACTTGAACTTTTTTTTTCCTTTTTTATGAATTCAACAAACATGTGCTGAAAACTCACTAAGTTTCAGATACCATGCAAGTTTCTGGAGACAGAAAATGAATAAAAATGCCAAGGAGCTTACAGTCTAGAGGAGTGGCAGATGAGTACATTCACAGCCACCACACCATGCAAACTGCTCCGTGAAAGAAGCAAATACCGGTGCAGCGGAAGCCAAGGGGAGGGGCAAGGACATGCTCGTGTGAAGTTAGGGCTGCTTTCTTCAGGAGGCAACTCTTGAGGTATGTTTTGAGGGACAAGTAGGAGTTCTTTAGAGAAAAGTTCCAGGGAGACTGTTTCAGGCCCAAGAGTAACAATGAGCATAGAAGTGGAGACATGATACAATATGACTTGCTCAGAAAACTACAAGTAGTTCCATATGACTAAAGTAAATAGGGGTTCGGGAGTCCAAAGTTCTAGAAAAATATAAAGGCGAATGTGCTACTTTTCCTGGGGAAAATCTACATTTTTGGTGGTGATGGTAGTAGTGGTAATTAAGGAGGGGTCGATAGCAAAGACTTATTTGACTGAAACACAATGTGAATTTCTAAATGGAATTTGCAGGCTAGGTGATTTCTTGGAAATAGTGGATGGCCTTCACTGAATTCATACTAAACAAGAAATTGAAATTCTTATTCTGTAACAGAAATAAAAATTTAAGCCTCATGTATGATGTAAAATGTTCTGTTGTTGTTGTTAGGTGCCATCAAGTCGTCTTCAGTGATGCTTTTTAAAAAGGAAAAATAAAAATGCGACATTAATTTTAATGATATATTTTACTTAGCCCAGTCTACCCAAGCAAACATCTCTGCAACATGTAATCAACATTTAATTTTTGAGATATTCTACATTTTATTTTGTACTGTTGTTGTTAGTTGCTGTCGAGTCAATTCCAACTCATGGAGACCCTAGGTATGCAGGGTAGAATTGTACTCGGTAAGGTTTCCAAGACTGTGACCTTTTAGAAGCAGATAAGCAAGCCTTTCTTCTGAGGAATCTCTAGGAACCATCAACTTTTTGGCTAGTAATAGAGAGCTTACCCATTTAATCTTTGATATTCGATACATATTGTCCGTTGAGAACACATCTCATTCTGGACTAGCCACATTTCAAGTACTTGATAGCCACTTGTGGCTGGTGGGTACTATGTTAGTTAGCACAGGTCTACAGTCCGATAGTGATGGCTTGAGCATCTCTGCAGACCAGCCCCAGGCTATCAGGGAAGACCATTAGTAGAAAATGAAAATCTATGCGAGGTGTGATCACTCATGCATTTGAAGGGGAACTCCAGTCAGATAATCCACCACAGGGGACAATTTAAGTCATTTTTATTAACTAGGTGATGTTTTTGTGTTTTCATAACTGATTATGATATGGGGACACAAACTTTTCCACAAAATAATGAGTTATAATAATGTATAACTCAGAAAAAAATGAACCACTGCTGAGCATTCTCATTCTAGCTATCTGGCTAACCCTTTGCAACTTTCTCACTCCAGGCTGGGAATGGGCTCCCTCACCAACCAGGCTGATTTGGAAGTTCTAGTACAGACTAAATCCCCATCCACAAATGGAATCCCCAATTGGAGAACTTCCAGCCAAGTTCAAGTACACCTCAAACACACATCTACCTCCTCACATGATTGATGCCTGGTTTAATTCCAGTGCCTTCATTTTCTTTGTAGCCTTCCTATTCATAAGACTTGAATAAAATCCCTTTCCACATGAAATATGAATGGTGAATCTTACCGGTATTCTTAGTGACAAAAGTGCACAAACTATTTAGTTCAAACCTTATTAGAGCAGATTAAAGCAATTCCCATTGATCTAGATCCTTGGTGTCTTTGATTCAGAAGGGGAAATAGATGATTGTTCCCAAAATCTTTGGCTTTTGATTATCTTTTAAAAAAAAAGAAAAAGCAAATGAGTTCTTTCACTAGGGTATTTCACTAGGTACCTCTTTGGTAAAGAGGAAAATAAGTATCTCAGAAACATAAATCCTTGGTGGAAACAGGTACTTTATTTCATTATTTCTTTTTCAGGAAATAGTTTATTTCCTGAATCCATTCCTCCAATACACCTTTGTTGTTGTTGTTTTTGATGCCATCTAATAGGCTCCGATTCAGACTGGCCCCATGTGTAACAGAACTCCGTGATGCCCAGTCCTGTGCCATCCTCACAGTAGGAGTAGGTATTTCTGAGCCCATTGCTGTGGCCACTCGTTGAGTGTCTTCCTCTTTTGCACTCACCCCCTACTTTCCCTCTCCAGGGATTGGTCCCTCCTGGTAACAAGTCCAGAGCACATGAGATGAAGTCTCACCATCCTTGCTTCTAGGGAGCGTTCTGGTTGTATTTTTTCTAAGAAAGATTTGTTCATTCTTGTGGTGGTCCACGGTATAGTCAATGTTCTTTACCAACACCATAGTTCAAATGTGTCAGTGCTTCTTCATTTTTCCTTTTTCATTGTCCGGCCCTTGCCCTACACCAACCATGAGCCACATTTGAGGTTGTGACACACATGAAGTGCACATTCATTGAAATAAACACAAATTACATCCTTTTGCTTCTTAGATACGTTTCACTTTAAAAAAAAAAATACATATTGTTGCTATGTTTTTTATTTCTTGTTCAAATCCCATCAAATAAGATTACAAAAATTAATTTTTAACTATCCTAATAATGGCATTAATTTTAAAAATTAAAGTAATACATGTTCATTGTTAAACAGAAAATATAAGTAAGCAACAAATATGTAATCCTAAATTCATTTTTTTAAATTGTGATTTGGGTGGAAGTTTACAGAGCAAATTCATTTTCCATACAGCAGTTCATACACATTTTGTTTCCTGACATTGACTGCAATCCCCACAATGTAACAGCTCTCTTCCCACTTCCTCCCTGTAGCTACCCCACAGCTACCCTGTGTCCTTTCCTATGCATTCCTGCCCTCTGAGCTATCTTCCTATGCAAATACTGCCCTTCTGATCTTCCCTGGCTGATTGTTCTAAGGAGTGCTTACCTACCAGGTGTAAATGTTCACCTTATATGCCTGTCTATTGTTTGGCTGGAAGCTTAGGAGTGAGTTCAATTCCAGGCCTGAAGAGTCACTAGCGGCTATAGTCTTGGGGGTTTCACCAGTCACTATTGGACTGGTAAGCCTGGCCTTTTTTATGATTTTGAGTTTTGTTCCACATTTTTTTCCCACTCTATCCAGGATCTAAGAATATGTTTCACACTTAAAAATCTGTTAGGATCACAGAAGTGGATGGCTATCAGGAAAAATTGTGAATGACTTGAAATGGGTCAAAAAGATCACTGACTCTGCTGTGCAGTGCATCTGTCTGCTCAACTGCCCCCTTTGATTGTTTTTGGGCTATTTTACAAATCTTTAAGTTGTAGAAAACGGATATAATGAAAATTATTCTTTTCCATGTTGTTGTTGTTGTTATTTGCCATTGAGTTGGCCCCGACTCATAGCGACCCCTCCTTGGGTTTCCGAGGCAGTATCACTACGGAAGTAGGAATGCCCAACCTTCCTTCCGA